CCCCGCGGGTGACCCGGGAGGCCGGGCCGGGCTGCCGGAAACGTGAGGCCGCGGAGGGAAGGGAGGCCTCGGCCTGGCCAAGGGGGATCCCGCCGTGTGAAGGGTGCGGGAGAGGCCCGGGCCCGGCCCCGCTCGGCTGAGGGGGAGTGCGGGGCGGGAAGAGGCCGCGGGACAGGAAAGCTGTGCCCGGGGAGGGACACTGGGCACCGAGGCGCTTCTGGGGACTCAGAGGTGTTTGTTGACGTGACTGGGGGTGTCAGAGCAACTGACAGAGAAATGGTGTGGAGTCAGAAAAAGAGGGAATGGGGAAAAGAGTCAGGATTTTTAAGAAGAAGGATGGAGACAGCGCAGCCAGGACAGGCCTGGGCACGGGCTGGCACGGGAGGGACATGTCCCCGATGGAATCCGTGTGATGTGGGGCTGGGGACGTGAGGACCAGGAGTGTCTGATGGCCTCGGGGAACGTCAGGGTGATCTGTGGGCTGGGATAATTGGGATGGGAGTGAGTGACTCCCTCATGGTGAGGGGCAGGAGGCTGGGATGTGTCCAGGAGCCCTGGCTGCTGAGGGATGGAGCCAGGACAGTGATCGGGCAGTGCCAAACAGGGACTTGCAGGGAGAGGTGGGGGCTGTACGAGGCACAGCCAGGTCCTGGGATGCCAGACAGGTTTGTTGTGCTGGCACGGAGAGCAGAGACCCTGGGAGAGGGAATTTCACAGGAATCTGCCAAGGGATGGAGCTCGGTACAGTTTAAGGAGGATGTAGAGAGAGGGCAGGGAAGAGGCTCCTGCACAGGGAGGGGGGCTGGAATTGCTTCCCTCTTTTCCTGCTTGCCCTGATCAGGGCAGGGGGAGGTTGGCAGTGGTCCTGGCCAGGCAGCTCTCCGCTTGGGTGCTGGGCCTTGACCTTGGCCCCCATTCTCTGCAGGCCTCAGGAGGCCGGAGCAGGCCTGGGGCTGACTCCGTGGTCCCAGCGGAGCGTCTCGTGCTCCTGCGTGATGTGTGACCTCATCCCTGCGCTCTGTGGTCACTGCTTTGGGCAGAGGCCCTGGTCACGTGTCCTGCCACCCTCCCTGGTGTCACAGTGTGTCCTTCTTGTCCGTGGAGTGGCACGATGGTCTGGGAGGCCTTTCCCAACCTCAGTGATCCTGTGGGATTTGGTTCCATAACGAGACCAGGGCTGCCCCTGAGGGATGTGGTCCCCATGCTGTGACCAGACCTTCCTCTGTCCAGCCGGTACCACTGCCATGTCCTTGCCATCTTGTTGGTGATGTGTGGTGAGTCAGTGTCCCCCAGGGCAAGGCTTTGGTGGCTGCTCTGTGCTGCAGCAGCACTGACAGGCTGTGGCTCAGGGCTTCAGGTGCCCAGAGGGGTGTCTGCAGGCGGCACTGCCCAGCGCAGCTCATGGCACTGCCGGGCAGGGGTTCCTCTCCTGGGGACTCAGTGTTGGTGCAGGGCTGCTTTATCAGGAGAGGGAGCCTGCATGTTCTGGGGCTTGCCCAACCCTTTCCCCATGTCCCTGCCATGCCGTGCAGGGCACTTACAGCGGCATCAGGCTGTGTCTGGGCTCCCTGGGTGCCGTGGGAGCGGTGCTGAGGTGTCTCCTCTCTCTGCTTCCAGCTGGGGGTGATGCCATGGCCGCTGCCAGCTCCAGCAGGGCCAGGGCCGGGCTGCCCTGCGAGAAGTCCCCGCTCTCCGTGAAAGGTGGGTCCTGCTGCCTCGCCGGGATTCCCACTGCCAGGAACGTGGCTGTGTGCCCTGCCTGCACCCGGGCTGAGCACACGGACACTCGTGGGGAGCAGGGGCTGGGGGTGGCCAGTGCTGCCCTGTGTGCCATGGGCTGGGTTTGGCCGCCTCCCCCGCCCGGCTGCCGTGGGGACGTGGCTCCGGGGCCCTGCCGGGGCCGCGCTGCTGCTGCCGTGGCCGCGAGATGGCTCCCGGCGCCCGGAGCCGCGTCCACTCGGAGCCACATCCAGCTCTGCCCCTCCGCAGGCTCTGCTGGCCTGGGGGTGCTCCGTCCCATCTTGTCCCCGTGCCCTGGGGTAGGGAGGTGTCTGTGGGGACGGTGGCAGTCCTGCCAGCCTCGGCGGGGGGAAGCTGGGGACAGGCATGGTCAGGGCTTGATGCCAGCCATCGCTGCCACCAGGAGCGTTGCTCCCCACTGCCCCTCTCCCAGCGCTCTGCTGTGAGTCGTGGCTGGCAGGGGTTGGGCGGGGGATCAGGGCAGGGGACAAGGTGTCTCGTAGGCCTGACCCTGTGCCTGTCCCTGCCCAGTTGTGTCTGTGAAGCCCAAGGCCCAGAGCCGCCCAGCACGGATGAACTGCTACGTGGAGGTGGCCGGCGACGGGCTGCCCAGCGAGACCAAGAAGACTGGGAAGCAGATGGGGGTCTCTGAGCTGCTGTGGAACGAGATCCTCACCCTGTGAGTCTGTGTGACCCCTGTTGTGGGGCTGGTCAGGGGCTGGCCCATGTGCTCTGCTGTGCCACCGGCTGGGGACACTCAGGTGTCACAGAGCTTTCTCCTTGCATGGGGACACTGCCAGAGACAGCCAGGCTGGGAGGGTGGTGGGAGGGGGGTCTCCCATTGCCCCTTTCCTCACCCAGCTTCCTCCTCTCCTTGCTGGTGGCACTGCCTGCTCCCCAAGCGCGGAGCAGGTGTGAGGCCACGGTGACAGTCCCCTTCTATGGTCTCTGCAGGAATGTCACGGCTCAGAGCCACTTGGAGCTGAAGGTGTGGATCTGTCACACGCTGAGGAACGAGCTGCTGGGCGCCGCCTCCGTCAGCCTGGGCAGCCTGCTCAAGGGCGGTGGCAAACGTACGTCCGAGGGGCCGTGGGCTGCGCTGGCGGGGCAGGGATGGGGCAGGGACGGGGCAGTGGCTGCTGCGCTCCCTGCCAGGGAACAAGGTGCTGTTGTGTGCCCCGGGCCGGGCGTGCCGGAGGCCGTACCTGCGTCAGCCCGGGCGCCGCGGCCGGCTCGGAAACACAAACCCCTCTGCTATTTGCCGCTGTTTGCGGCTGCCAGAGCGTGGCTTGTGACAGCAGCTCCCACATAAAGGCGGCCATTCAGGGCTGGGGCGGCGCGAGCGGCTGCGCGGAGCTGGAAAAGGCTGGCTCTGTCTCTTCTAAGCAAAGCTTGTGAGACACAGACCTGGTATTGAGCGAGGAGAGGGGCCTCCTGCGCCCCGAGGGATTCGGGGCCGGTTCAGACCCTCCCCAGTGCTGGGGGCTGGGGTGAGCTGCTTCCCCTGGTGCTGCCAGCTCTGAAACCACACCGGTGTCCCTGCTGTGCCACCGTGGCTCTGGGTGGCACCGGGTGTCGTGGCAGTGAGACACACGTGGGAGCTGTGCTGTTACTGCTGTCTTCTCACGAGGCCTGTGGGGACTTGGATGTGTGCCTTGGGCTGGCTCTCTTGGGGTAGCTGCCAGCCAGCCCCACAGCTGTGGGACCTGTGTCCCTGGGCACCCTCCCCTGCAGCCATTATTTCCCGAGGTGTGCAGGGACGTGCTGGGCTCCCGGAGCCACCACGGTTCCGCCCTACCTGCGCTGCCACGGGGGCACAATTGGCTCTTTCATTCCCAGCTGTCCCGGGGGGCTGTGTGGAAAATGAATGGAAAAGGCAACTGGCTGTTCTAGCTTGTCCGTTAACATCCCCCAGAAAAAACGTGTCAGATTTTTCCTTGACACTGTGGGCTGGGAGGGAGGAAGGACTCTTAAAGCTGCAGAGCCTGCCCTGCCCAGGAAGGTGCTGCCTGTCTGCTTCTGTCTGCCCTCCTTGTCTGGGCTGGCATCTGCTCCCTCCTCTTCTCTGCAGACTCGTGCTCAGCCTTCGGGCTTTGCTGCAGGTCTGAGCGGGCCAGAGGCTGCTGGGGGTCCCACAGGAGCCTGGGAGATCTCTCCCTCAGGGGCTTCCCACCTCCTGGGAATAGGGGAGTGTGTTCCCTCTGCCTCCCAGGCTGAGGAAGGGGCTGGCCCAGCCAAGGGCGTGCAGGAGGCATCTGGGATTTCAAGCCATCCTGAGTCAGACACTTCATGTGAAGGGCAGTGAAATGCATGTGCCTGCTGCCAGTGTAGGGGCCTGGCCCTCCTCTCCCATCCTGAGAATGCTCAGTCAAGAGTGAGCTCCTGCCAGGCAGCAGCCCTCTCTTCCTTGGGTTTGTTATGGTTTTGGTGAGGCTTTATCAAATATATTAATTTGTGAGGTGGCCTTGGGTTGATGTTCCTGTTGTTCTCCTCCATGGGCAGGACAGTGTCCTCAGTGCTGGTGACACCTGTGGCAGTGTGTGCCAGGCTCCTGCCTGCCAGGATGCTGCTGTCAGCCAAGCATGCCCCACTTCAGGGGGAAAGGTCTCAGCTCTGGGGCCTGGAGCATGGAAGCAGAGCTCAGAGATGAGGCCTGAGCTCCCGGGCAGGCTGCGAGAGCCTCTGGAGCTGACAGCCTGGCTGCCACAGGAGCTCTGCGGGGCCTCTCCGCTGGCAGGCAGCCCCTCCTGCCTTCCCAGGGATTGGCCGGGGAGGTGGAGAGGTGGGTCAGGAGCGGCTCAATCACCGCACGGGCTGGAGCCTTGCAGGAGCCGAGCCGCTCCCAGGGCTCCCATAAAACAGCTCGTTTGCCGTGGCACGGCCCCCGGCCCCGGCCCCTGCCCTGCCGCCGCAGCAGAGGCGCCTCTTTGTTCCCGCCGGCCTCGCATCCCGGGCTGTGTGGGAGCCCATACTGGGCCCTGCTGGTTGTGCTGGTCCCGCTCTGTGCCGAGCGTGCCAGGGCTTTCCAGATCCCACAGGTCCCTGCTGTGCTGGACAGGCAGAGTGGCTGTAAGCCTCCTGGGATCCTCCAGGACACCAGCAGCAATTCCCAGCCTCTGGAAAACTGCAGCTCCACCCTATTGTGGCTGTGATGCCAAAGGAGCTGTGCTGTGCTTCATGTCCCAGCAGCTCTGTGAGCTGGCTGCCATGGCCAGGATGTAATCCCACAAAACTTCTCATCCAGCCAGTGGGTTGCTGGGGGATTGGAGAGTGCCCATCCCATGTCACCTTTTAGAGGAAAGATGCAGAAGCCTGAGGCCCTCCTGGTTATTCCTGGCAGATAAATGGAGCGAGACACTGTTGTCTCTAAGCTGCTGGTGGCTGAGGTTGGATCAGCAGGAAAGGCAAAGCTTCCCTGGGGAGACTTTCATGGGACAATAAAGATCATCCTTTCCCTTGAACTCTGGGTTCCTTCTTGGTTTGGGAATGTCTGTGGCAGGTTTAACTTTCCCCTTGCTTGTTCCTGGAGGGACTGTAACCACTGTAGCAAGGAGTCATTCCTTCTGTGGGAACACACAAAGGCTGAGCTGGTGTTCACCTGCTCAGCAGGAGGGAGCTTTGGTTCATCCCAGACAAAATCCAGATGATCAAATGGAGCTGTTGGAATGGGAACTGGCCTTTGCATCCAGTGGGATTGGGCAAAGAGCCTGGCGCTAGGTTTGGGAAGCTGAGAGACTGGGAAGCTCATTTTTGGTCATCTGTCTGAAAGTCTTTGGGGACGCAGCTGTGGAGATGGAGCCAGCTCACACAGGGTCTTCCAGAGGGGTGCCCACCCCGTGTGGCTGCTCCCTGGGGTCAGACACGTGTGGTTCCCAGGGGTCCCAGGGCTGGGGCTCGGCCCAGGGCTGTTACCACGCTGGCTGCTCCCAGCCTCCTTTCGTGGAGCCGTAAATCCGCTTAATGGGCCGGGTGGGAATTCCAGCTCACCTCTGCTAAATGTGAGCTCTGATGCTGCGTGCAGGGCACTGGAAGTAGCTGAACTGAGACCTTATTCAGGACCAAATCACCCCCCGACCCCCTCCCAAAATACTAATAATCCCTCTGACATTCTGGCAGCCGGCAGGACAGAGGCAGCCTTTGTGCCGGGCCCTTCGGGGGACCCGCCGTCGGTGCAGCAGCAATGTCCCTTTGTGTGTCCCGCACGCTGCACGGGGACTGGGAGTGGAAGGTTCTGCGAGTGTTTATTTTCTTTAAAAAAGCTGGAGGGGGTGGAGGGGGGGAGAAGGAAGCTGGCTGGGAGGTTCATGTTCACATCCTCCACTTGGAGACACCTTGTCTTTGCGCCTCAGCTGGGCGCCCACACAATGAGGGCTTGTGCAGCCCCGGAGCGTGGCGTGCGTGGAGGGGGTGGAGGGACCCTGGAGAAAATGTGGATTCCTACGGTTTGGAGGAGCCAGGGGGGAAACAGGGTCTGGATTTGTTCTGGTTTTTGGCTGTGCTCAGTAGCATCTTCTGTCTCAGGCTCTTAAAACTGTCTGTGAGGTCGGTTTCCTATGGAGGCAAGCAGAGTGCAGCTCTGTGAGGCAGAGGGGAAGACCAGGCTCAGCAGAATCCCTTGTCAGATGATGGTGATCAGTGACAGAGCTGTGCCCCTGTCGTGCAGGAGACACCTGCCTTCTTGGCACTAAAACTGGAGACTAAACTGGAGAATTCCCTCAGATCCACAAGTGCCGCCAGTCCCACAGCCCTGTGTTCACTGCAGACCCTGTGTCACTGGGTTCTGGGGAGCCTTGGAGAAGGAAGTGTCAAGTCCCAGTGCAGGACAGCTCGTAGCTCAAGGTGGGACAAGAGCTCCATGGGGATGTGCTCCCATCCTGCTCCTGCTGGCCTGGATGAGCCACACCCCATCCCTGCGTCACACCGGGACAAAGCAGGTTGCTAAAAAATGGTGCCATTGTGTCATGAGCAATCTGTGGATAATAAAAATATTATTTGAGCAAATGAGTCAGGGAGTGTCTGGGCCAGTGTCCCAGGCTGGTGCAGCCAAATTTTTCTGGCCTTCTGTGACGGAGCCGGGTGTTTCAGTCTGGCTGGCACTGGCAGGCATTGCTTCGATGGGGTTGGTGCTGAGGGCTGTGTTGTGCCCCCGTTGCCCCCAGGGACCAGCAAAACCTTGCTGAAGCTGCTGATGAAGCCAGACTGGTTCGCACAGGAGGGAGTGGAGCTGGCAGCTATCTCCAGGAGCCTCCCAGCCCGTGGCACCCTCTCCAGAACCTTCTGTGAACGCAGTCCAGCAGTGTTCCTGTCTGGGGACAGCACTCTGTGCTAGTTTCCTTCAGTGGATGTGGATGGAGGGATGGTCACCATCATGCAGGACCCCTCTTGCCCCATGAGTCATCTTAAAGGAGCCCCTCAGTTCAGGAAGGACCTTGAGATGCTTGAGCCCCTCCAGAGGAGGCAACGAGGCTGGTGAGGGGTTTGGAACATGAGCCCTGTGAGGAACGGCTGAGGGAGCTGGGGTTGTTTAGCCTGGAGAAAAGGAGACTCAGAGGTGACCTTATTACTCTCTACAACTCCCTGAAAGGTGGTTGTAGGCAGGTGGGGCTGGTCTTTATCACCAGGCAACAACTGACAGAATGAGAGGACACAGTCTTAAGCTGTACCAAGAGAAATTTAGGTTGGATGTTAGGAAAAAGTTTTTTATGGAAAGAGTGATAAAGTATTGGAATGGTCTGCCCAGAGAGGTGGTGGAGTCACCATCCCTGGATGTGTTTAAAAAAGGACTGGATATGGCACTCAGTGCCATGGTTTAGTTGAGGTGTTAGGGCATGGGTTGGACCCAGTGATCTTGAAGGTCTCTTCAACTTGGTGATTCTGTGAAATCCCTTGGCTTTCCTGCCAGGGTCTGCCCTAGAGCCCCAGCTCCTGGATCTGTGAGCGATGGGGGTCTCGGTGTCACAGCCAGGGCCTTGGGGCACCTGCAGCCCCAGTAAAGGGGTGAAGGGATCCCGAGGGCTGCTGAAGAAGGATCTTCCTCAGGAACAGGTGGTGGGACTGGCTGGGGTCCTCTGGCAGCGCTGGTAGGTGTGTGCAGGTGTGGGGCTGACACCGGTGGTGCTCGCCGGGACAGGTGGCCCCGAGGGAGTGGGCACCGTGGGGATGGGGGGCGGCCTGGAGGAGCCCGGGAGGCTGACACGGGGGCTGGGGCAGTGGAGCCTCCTCCAGGCTGGTGTCCTGTGGTGACCAGGGGTCTCTTTCTCCATGTCCTGTCTGCTGCAGTGGAGAACAGGCAGCTGACCCTGGACCTGCAGACGGAGAACAAAGGCAGCGTTGTGTCTGGCGGGGAGCTGACGATTTTCCTGGACGGGCCGGCTGTTGCTCTGGGCAGCGTTCCCGACGGCAGCGCCGGCTCGGAGGGTGAGTGCCCAGCACCCCGGGACAGTGTCCCAGAGCCCAGCCCCAGTGAGACCCCAGGACAGTGTCCCAGAGCCCAGCCCCAGTGAGACCCCAGGACAGTGTCCCAGAGCCCACCCCTGGTGAGACCCTGGCCCCGTGGGCTCCCGCTGGTGCGAGTGTGCGGCAGGAGCGGAACGGGAGCATCGACAGGCTCACACCAGCCTCCCCAGCAGCCTGGGAGGAGCAGCCCTTCTCCAGCCCTCCTCCAGCCTTCCAGGCGGATCAGCCCCTTCCCTCGCTGGCTGTGAGGGCTGAGGAAATGGTGTCAGTATCTACTGATGCACTCACAAGAGCTGCCCATGGCAGAGCGTGCGTGGGGTCGTGGGCTGGTGGCTGATCTCTCAGGGCTGCCAGGGGAGCGAAGCTTGTACAAAACAGGGGTTGGTGCATTGCTTGGCTCCTTCTCTTTGTCGCTGGAAGACAAAACCTGTGAGACCTGGGAGCTGTGGATGCAGTGCTCTCCTGGCACTGCCAGCTCTGCAGAGTCCTGTGACCCCATGGAGCTATGGGGTGCTACGGGCGCCGGGCTGTGTGGTGTGAAGTGGGGGGTGCTTGGGTGCTGGGGGTCTGTCCTGCAAGGGATGGGGCTGCTGTGCTTTTGGAGCTCCTTTCTGGAAGGCGGGAGGGAAGGAAGGAGGTTGGATCAGTCCTTTTTTTCAGCCCTTGTTCTTCCCCCATGCAGGGTCCCAGGTGCCTGGACGGGACCCCACCAGCACAGCTGTGGCCACGGAGGGCCGGCACCAACCTCCCAGCACCAACTGCTTTGGCAGCAGAGCGAGGTGAGGGTCCCATGCCATGTTCCCATTATGGAGGGGTTGCTGTGGCAGTGTCTGGATCGTGCTTGTGCTGTGCAGCCCACTCCAGATCTCACAGTGAGCCCCTGTCACTCAGCACGGGCGGTCTAGAGCAGGGGTGGCCTGTGCTGAGGGGCAGCAGAGCTGGGAGTGCAGAGGGGTGACTCCACAGCTGGGCTGTGGCTGGCCTGAGCCTCTCCTAAGTGTTGGTGTCTCGAGGAATATCAAGTCTGTGATGGCTCAGAGAGTTTCCAACAGTTGCTCCACTAGCAGCTGGAAAATGGTCTGTCTGGGGGTGGGGCAGGCTGTGACCAGGCAAGCCAGCAGGGTGGGGTCCCTTCAAATGGGGATCCCAGGAACTCCAGCTCTTCCCTCAAGCACAGCCCTGGCCAGACTGGGAAGCACAATACCCCTCTGGGCAATTGCCACAGGGAGATGCTTACAAAGGTCCAGGGAGAGCAGGAGAAGCAGAGCTGCAGGGAAATAACAGCTGCTTCCAAAGGAAGTGAGATGCTTGGGCAGCAGGCCATCCTGCACCTGGCTCTGTGCCCTGCCCTGCCCTGCCTCCTTGCCGGGCTGGAGTGGCTCAGCACTGCTCCTTTTGGAGCTGTGGTTACTGAGAGACGTGTCACACTGTCAACATGGAGTTGAATTTAACACCTATTTATATTTTCAGAGCATGGCAGTGGCCCAGCAGCCTGTACAGATGTTCTGGGTAGGAGTGTGGCTGTGGAGAGGGTGCCTGCAGCCTGTCTGTGGGAGGTTCTGCGTGGCCCAGGTTCAGGAGCACTCTAAAATACAAGCTCCACACCTTGAGCTCTTCTGCTTCTTCTTTACCTGCAGGGCACACACCAGAATTGGTGTTTTTGGCTCAAAAAGTGACTTTGTCTTTCCATGTTGTGTGTTCATCTTCAACCCGAGGAGGGAGAGGGATGGAAATCAGGAGCAGTTTGTGAACACAGATCATGTGCCCTTTTGTGGTGGCTGCTCCTGTTGATTCCTGCTGTCCAGGTGTTAGAACCTCCCCAGGGGTGGGAAGTGCTCAGTGACCTGACTGAGCCGGGCTTGGCGGGCGCTTAGCAGCTCTCAGTAGGTGCTAGAAAACCTGCAAAGAAAATTCTGGTTTGGGAGGCTGAGCCTGGGCACTGCTTCTTGCCCATTCCCCGCTGCTTTCCCATCGGCTGTGAGGAGTTTCTGCTTCAGGTGTCACCTTGAGTGTGGTGAAGTCTGGCCAGGACTTGTTCAGGGCACCTTCAGACACCTGCCAGGTGTGTCTGCCATCAGCCAAATCCCCTTGCTGCCCTGGCATGGAAACCTCGGAGGTCATTCTCAATCCATTCTGCACTCACCTGAATTTGGGGTTGTTCTGGACATCCTGCTCAGCTTGATGTGTTGCTGCTCCATGGGGCAGAGCACTGCTCTCCGTACCCACAGTGGAGGCAGCTGCCTGCTCCAGAGTGGAATGTGGGTCCCTTGCACTTGGGAATGTTGTTTGATGGTTGCTGTGTTTATACACAGAGCCGTGTTTATTTTCTTGGGCTTGCTGATGGATGCTGGCAAAGTCGCTCAGCGGCAGGATGGGAAGAAAAGGGGCATTCTTTCCTCCTCAGCTATTTCTACACTGTCCCTGCAAGGGAAATTGCTTGGTCAGGGCTTCTCTTTCTTCTCCTGAACAAATGTCATCTTGGGATTTGCTGCTAATCTTGGTGATTGGGTGTGAAATTCCACAGCCCTCTGTGCAGGGAGAGAGGGAGCTCTGGCTGAGAGCTGGGGCCATGGGTGCCACAACCCCTGTTTGTGAAGTCCCTGGCACAGGATGCTCAGAGAAGCTGTGGCTGCCCCTGGATCCCTGGAAATGTCCAAGGTCAGGCTGGACGGAGCTTGGAGCACCCTGGCATAGTGGAAGGTGTCCCTGCCCATGGCAGGAGCTGGAACAGAATGAGTTTTCGGGTCCCTTTGCACCCAGACTATCCCACGATTCTCTCATTTGGGTGCTGGGGGATGTGGCTGCCTCCCCCCACCTTGGCAGGGACAGGGGGAATTTCTCAGCCCCGTGTTTCGGGAACTGTGCTCTGCCCTCCTCCTCCTCAGACACAGCCTGGAGTCTGATGTGCTGAGTGAGACCAAGACATGCTGCCACCTCTGCTGCATCTCATGAGGGACCTTCTGGCCATCTCAGCTGCAGGAACTGGCCGTTCCTGGGTTTCCTGGCTGGGGTCCGTGTTGGCCACCGTGGCGAGGGGACTCCGCCTTGGCAGAAGGAGAAGAGGAAAGGCTGATGTCACCTGGCTGATGCCACTTAACTCTTTGGCATCCTCTGCCCCAGCCCAGGAGAGGCAGTGGGGCAGCCAGCCAAGGTCCCCAAGTTGATGTGGGACAGCAGGGTCTTGCCCCTGGCATGGGAGAGGGGCTGCCATCCTCACACCCCGCTCCATCCACCCCCCGTCGTTCCCATCCGTGCTCTGCCTGGTTTTTTCCTTGCTCCTATTTTAAGCGCACGCTCCCATCCCGCCGTGCTCTGTGGCCTTGCTGGGTTTGTTTCCAGTGTCTATTAAAAGACAATGCCCAGATGGGAGCACTCGTAGGAGGGCTGGGCGGCGGGCTGGCTAATTCAGGCTGGTAACCCTGTGCCGCCGCCTGGCAGCCTGGAAACATCCTGTTTTGGATTCTAAAAACTCCCTGGGCAGTTCTGAGCTCATCCGTGCTGAGGAGGGCAGGGACCAGACCCATCCCATGCCAGAGAGGTTGCTCCCAGTGGGACAGGCTTGTGCCACCTGCCTGCTCTCCTCTGGCCAGGGCTCCGGGGCTGCCTCCAGCCTCACCATGGGGGATCTGTGGGGAGAGGTCTCAGCCAGCTTTTGGGAGGTGGGTGGTACCAGTGTGCCCTGCTGAGCCACGGCAGTGAGGGGCTCCCTTCACCTCCTCTTGGGGGAGGAGGAGCCCCTTCTCTACCCACAGATGCTCCGTGTTCCTGGGTGCTGGTGGCCAAAGCAAACCCCAGCCCGGAGTCGTGTCTGGGGGCCAGCCAAGTTCACTCTCTGAGGAGCCCCTCGAGGAGCCCCTGGCTGGGGCTGCCCTCCTAGGGGTCTGTGACTCACTCAAGTGGTCACAGCAGCTCTGGCTCTGCCCCTGGCTCTCATCTAATCTATTTTCAACAACCATCTCCTGCTTTCCCATGTCTCCTCCCGATCCCAGCCGTGCCATGAGCCACTCCCCAAGGAGAGCAGCTTTGGAGCAAGTGGGAGGGTTCCAGTTGCTAGAGCTGCTGAGAGTGGCATGACTGATCTGTGCCCTGTTGCTGCCAAGCTGCTGTCCCCTCCCAGTGCCAGCCCTGAGACTTTGGGGACAGTTTGTGGGTTTTGCCCTTTTAAGGTAGATTTTGGCTGGGAGAAACTGATGTACTTTTCCCTGCAGTCTCTACCATCTGTGGTTGCTGTCTGGGTTGCCAACCTGGCTGGAGGTGTCTGGACTCTGCCTCTGCTCCCCAGGCCTCCCAGATCTGGGATGGCAGCATCTCCCCTCCTGCCCTGTCCCCCTCCTCGCTCACAGGAATGAATTCTTAAGGTGAAACCCAGCTTTTTCAGGAATGCTTTTGTGCTGCCTTTGGGGCCCTGGATGTTCCAAGGGAGTGAGTTTGCTTGGGGGAGCTGCAGGTGCTCTGCCAGGGAACACTGGGCTGCCCTGGCCATGGAGAACAGTGGCAGGTGAGCTCCAGGGTGGCAGTGATCCCCAGGAGATGGAGCAGCTACACCTGGGCTGGTCACAACTTGTGCTGTGATTCAGCTCCCATCTTTTCTGACTGCTTGTTCCCTCCTTTTCTGGAGGCCACTGCTGTCCTGGGAGCACCTTCCTCACCTGCCTCTGTGCTAGGCTTGGAGCCAGGCACGAGGCACTGCTGAGGGTCCCCACTGTGGTGCAGGACCCGGGGCTGGTGTGGGATCTCCTGGGATCTGCAGGGATGGACAGAGCAAGCTGGGATCCACTGTGGTGAGCAGGTGTCTGTCTGCCAGCATCCAGGGCCATTCCTTGGCACGTAGAGTGACCACCTGTCAACAAAGCAAGGTGGTGTCACCCAGGTGACTGCTCTGTGGGTCTCTGCCACCAGCAGGTGTGTGCCAGCACTGTGGGCTGGTCTGAGCAGGCAGCACGAAGCTCCAGGCACTGCCCTGAGCAGAGGCACGGAACCGTATCCTGGCCCTTCCCAGGGACACCGGTGGCTGTGCTGTGCAGAAGCAGCAGAGGACCAGGGTGGAAGACAGCAGTGGCGTTTCCCATGTGATGTCTCTCACCTGCTGCGTTCCCTTCCCTCGCAGGACGCACCGACATGCAGCCGGAGCAGCCCGGGGAAACACGGGGAGTGGAGAGCAAAGTCCCAGTGCCAGGAGCCGGCACCGGCAGCAGGCCAAGAGCTCACAGCACACCAGCACAGCCACCAGCACGGCCAATGGCACGGCCACCAGCATGGCCAATGGCACAGCCAACGGCACGGCCACCAGCATGGCCAATGGCACAGCCAACGGCACGGCCACCAGCATGGCCAATGGCACAGCCAACGGCACGGCCACCAGCATGGCCAATGGCACAGCCAACGGCACGGCCACCAGCATGGCCAATGGCACAGCCAACAGCATGGCCAATGGCACAGCCACCAGCATGGCCAATGGTGTGGCCACCAGCATGGCCAACGGCGTGGCCAATGGCACAGGTGACCCAGCGCTCGTGGGAGGTGGGGGCAGAGCTCAGGGCTGTTTTCTGTGGAGAAAATGAATCTCTGCTGAGATAATGCATCTTGTAGCACCCAGGAATTTTGTCCCTATGGATTGATGGGTTTTTATTGATTTTCCTTCTGATAAGCCAGGCAGCTCTGCAGAGTGCACTGGGAGGATCTGTGCTGCCTGTCAGGAATGATTTCTGTGATCTCAGAGACCCTGGGCACAAATGCAGAGTACTTTCTGCTTCTGTCTCGGGATGGAGGCGGTGGCAGTGGTTCCCAGAGGGGTCTGGGTGAAGCAGGTGCTGCCTTTGCTGCAGGCTGGGAGCACTGAGATTGCTGTGCTTGGGTTGTCACCCACCATGTGCTCTGCTTCCTGGGAAGATCAGCTGGCCTTGGGCCCTCTCCCTGGTGCTGACTGCTGCTGTCTGCCCTTCCAGTGAACGGGGACTCCGTGTGTGCCGTGGACATGGATGAGGACAGGCCAGCAGCAGGTGCCAGCGTTCCGACCCCGGCGGCATCCGGCACGGCCGATGGCTCCACTGCTCCTGCCCTTCCTGCCCTGAGCAGCTCCAGAGAGGCAGAGGAGGCGGCCTCAGCCCCCACTGTTCCCCCAGCCCGGGCAGCCCTGCTTGCCCTGGATGCTCTGCCCCCCGGGTAAGCTCTGCCTGTGGCCCTCGGGGAGGGGGACAGGAACCAACTGGGGCCCTGCTGTGTGCTGGGACAAGAGGCTGTTTGAGGGAGGGAAGGTGCTGCCCCGGGAGCTGGTGGAGATGCTGGTGCTCAGTGGAACAGGGAGGGCCTGGGGCAGGTGCCAGGGATCCTGTGCCCTTTGCCTGACACAGCTGGTGCTCCTTGTCCTGCCTGTCTGCCCAGGATGCTCGGGGCTGGGGCCTGGCCTGTACCCGCTGGGTGGCATCTCTGTGCCAGGCAGCATCTCAGCATCTCACGGGGGTGCTCAAGGGATCAGTCAGAGGAAAACGCCCAGGAGACTGAGCGTGGATTGTCAGGGAGCTCCCACTGAGCAGGAGGGCATGGACACGCTCCGGGGGACACCACAGAGGCATTGGCCACTGCTGGGGACAGGACCCTCGAGTAGTGGTGCTCACTCCCCCAATGTGGATGCTGCTCATCCTCCTCCTCCTCCAGGGGATGTCGGGAAGGGGCTGGAGGGGAATGGGAGCTGCTGGCTCGGGGTGGGGGGCAGCAGTTGGGGTCTGGGCTCAGCCCCCACTGTGCTGCAGCTGCACCATTCTCCCCTTGTGTCAGACCCCTGGAGTTCTGGGTGGGGGTGAAATGGCCTGTGTTTGGGATGAAGGGAGCTGTTTATTTTGCTTTGGCTGAGGCGATGCCTGGAAGGTCAGGGCCCCGCTCGCGTGTCAGTCACAGGTAATTAGGGTTAACGGCTCACTGTGCCTTTATGCGGGTGTGTGAGGGTTTCTGTTCTCCTGGCCTGGGCGCTTCCTGTTTCCAGGCAGCTGGAAAAGTCCACTGCTCTCAAAAAGGCCTTTATTCCAGCCAGAGCTTGTGCCCCTTTCTGCTTCTACCAGGTAGACTGAAGGTCTCCTTTTCCCCACCTGGGGTTGGAAACAGGCTGTTGTTTCTTTGCCGGGGCGGGGAAGCCTGCAGATACCTCAGGATTCTGGAGGCTCGGGAGGCTGCAGGCACTGCTTTCTAAGACACACCAGGCTGGGTTTTCCTGGCCCAGCCAGGTGGAAAGGTGGCCATGTCCTCCTTGCCCATTTCCCTGTGGAGCTCACACCCCAGAGAATCAGGTGTGTCAGAGCGGGGAGGAGGATAAAGCTGTTGTGCTTTGGGAGATGGATGGAGAGGAACACTGAAGGGGTAGTGAGGCATTCTCCAGGCTGAGCTGCTGGAATCTGGATCTCTGGAGACACCTTTGATTAGCAGCTTCTGTGCTGGCAGTGGGATCTGTAAGGGGAAGAAGGGCAGCATTGAGCTGTGCTGGCCTGGGCAGGGGGAGACCAGAGATCAAGGGTTTCCCAGGGAAGGAGAGCAGAGTTGAATCCATTGAGCTCTCCACAGCGGGAGCCCTTCCAGAGAGCTGCCAGAGCAGGTCCTGGGCTAATGGGGGCTTGCTGAACTGGGGTTGCACAAGGCTGTGTCCCTGGGGTGGTGTAAATGAGCTGCTGCAGTTCTCTTGAGCCCTGATCCAGGGAGGCTGTTTTTGGCGGGCTCACCTCACCACGGAATTATTTTGCCTGGTGGTTTGGGGCCCAGCTTGGGAGATGGGGATGCAGGATGGCCCCTTGCTGGGATGGCTGTGGGAGCACTGCAGGGCCCAAGGGCATGGCTCCTGCTCTGCCACTCCAGAGCTGCCAGGCACGTCCCTCCCGAGCCCTGCCCCATTCTCTGAGTGTCTCCTTCCTTCCTGGGGAGCGTGGGGAGCACTCACTTCAGCCTCTGAAGGGTGGCCCCAGCCTCCCTGCTCATTCTGGGCTCTGACAGATGGTTGGGTTCATGTGGGGATCCCGAGCCATTTGCTGTGCTCAGATCTTCCTGTCTCAACATCTGCACCAGGTGTGGCGGCTCAAAGGCATCCCTCACACAACTGGGAGTCTGTCCTAGGGGTTGGAGAGGGCTGGAAGGAGTTCTGAGTAATTCCAGCCCTGACAGTGCCCAAAACCTCCTTCACATCCTCTGGGCAGTGTTCCCCAGCCGAGCTGGAGCGCGTGTGGTGCCGAAGCTGCGGCCGCAGTGCCCCAGGCCTCGGGGGTCTCAGCTCTCCTGCTGGGGTTTCTGAGAGGAGTGACAGTGAAGGGAGGGGAGGGGGCTGCTGGCTCCTACATCTGGATCCTATCAGGGATGATCCCGTGTGGGGACAGGCAGCCGGAGTGGGGGGTGTGCGCTGCCTTGCCCACACAAAGAGGTGCTTTATGCTGCCTGGCAGAGCCCACGGGGCTGTGGTTCCTTACGTAAGGAGGGCGTTTTGTTTGGACTGCAGGGTTGCCTCAGCTCTGCCACTTCCCAGTGCCTGTGGTTCCCTGCATCCATGGGTATCGTGAGCCTGTGGGCATCTGGAGGAGAGCTGGCTGGGACCGGCATGTTGGGTGCTTTATGGTGGCAGTGTGGTGCTTGTGGGGAGAGCTCCCACCATCCAGCTCTCCCAAAACCGTGGCTGTCCCCTGCTGGGGGCTGTGTGGAGCTGGGCAAGGTGGTCTGAGCGAGGATGGGTTGTCCCCAGTGTCCCCATCTCCGTGAGATCTCCCCATCTCCGTGTGGCAGCAGTATCCACAGCTGATCACCACCAGTGGTGACTCATAGGGTGAGCCAGCCCTCGGCAGATTCACTCCTCACATCACCCAGGAGCTGCTGGTGAGGAGTTTGTGAGCTCATCAGTGTTTTTACAGGCAGTGAGGTGGGGACACGGAGCATCAAGCAGTGGCTGCCACCATCAGCAGCTCTCCTCAGTCCCACATGGCTCTTTGCAGTCATCAGTGCACTCAGAGGGATCCAGAAACCTGACGGAATTCTCATAACGGGAATTCTGGTCTCTATAGCCACAGAAATGGTACCTTCCAAGTTCTCAGAGCCATATGGATCAGAGAATCTGTTGTTAATGAGACTGGAGGAGCTGTCCAGGGCAATTCCACTGTCCTAAATGTGCCTGGGCACCTTCTGCCATCTGTCTCATGGGGTAGACCTGCTCATGTCTTAGGACACCCCAGCTGTGCTGATTTTCTCTTTAGAGATTTCACTCTTGTTTTGCCTGTCCTAGTGTTTTTATGCTCATGAAGCACCAAGTTCATGGTTTGTGAGCAGGAAACCGGGCAGTGTGAGGCTTGGCATTCATCACTCTTACGGTGTAGGGGCACAGCAGGTGCCCTCAGGGATACCCTCCCTGTCTCTGACCTGTTCCAAGGTCCAGTGCTGCTGACTGGAAGCAGTGTGTGCAGGTGCTGCATTGGCTCCGCAGAGGCTGCAGTGCAGCTGAGCTGTGTCACTGCAGGTGTGTGGCTGTGGTGAGGTCAGTGATGGCATTGCTGTCCTTGGAGCCGTGGGGCAGAGCTGGGATGAGCCCAGGCCGTGGGGCAGCAGCACTCGGAGCAGCTCCATCCCCAGGGCTGCCTGCTCCCTCCCTGCCAGCTGGGCTGGCTCCCTTGCTGTCACACAGAAGCTGGTGTATTAATTTCCGAGGGCTTTTTGTGGTGATTAATTGAGACAGATGATTGAATGGGGAGAGAGGCCTGTGGGAGCAGAAGTGTGGCAGGAGAACACTTTATCTGTCAGCAGCTGCTGGCTCGCCTCCTCTGCTGCAGGATAAAAGCTGACAAGAAAGCACGGGCTCCACAGAGCATTTACCTTTGCCATGGTAAATTTATGAATGAATTCATACAAAGAACGGTTGCAGCGTGGCCCTGTAACACCAGGCTCGCTGTCACCTGTTCTCAGGGCCACCCCAGCCCGAGCGCCGTGGCCACACGTGTGTTTGAGCCTCAGCTGTCAGCAGCAAGCCCAGGGCTGCCAGGGAGAGAACCCAGCCCCAGCCTCAGCTCAAATGCTCCCCTTTGAAGATGTATTAAGAGAAACCAAACCAAAACATCAGAAACACAGGGCATAAAACTTACCCTGTGTGAAATCCTTTCTGGGGGACCTGTGCTGACCTTTCTGGGGGAAGTTAGGAATTTGTGCTCCAGTTATGCCTGTTGATGAAGCAGAGTGCTGCAGCCCCTCTCCCAGAGTCTCCATCTGGGAGGCCCAGTAGCTGCCACACAGGCCTGTCAAATAAAGGTTGGAGTGCCGAGGATGTGAGGGGCTGGGCTCCCTGACCCCACAGGGGCAGCCCTCTGGATGTTCTTGGTCCAGCACATATCACCTGCCTCATGATTCTATTTTTCTTGCAGGTGGGAGCAGCGGGAGCTGCCCAACGGTAGAGTCTACTATGTAGACCACAACAACAAAACCACGACGTGGGAGAGACCCCTTCCTCCAGGGTAAGGGGCTCGGGAGCTCAGGCCTTGACTCAGTCAGAGGTCAGCTGTCCTGGAGGGATGTTCATGGCATCCTGGTGGGAGCTCCACCGGTGTCCCAGCACCCTGTCAGGCTTCGTGTGTCCTTGCAGGAGCTACTTGAAGAGTTATCCATTCTTTGTATTTCCTTCTGGTGGGTCCTTGTCCAAAAGAGCACCTTCAGGTGTGAAAGCAGTGGTTATGCCGAGCTGGGCACGGAGGGTTGGAGGGTGTCAGTCAGCAGGACCCGCCAAGCGGCGTGAGACCCACAGTGACAACTTCCTTGGGTGCTTCCAGGTGGGAGAAACGCGTGGATCCTCGGGGCAGGTATTATTACGTGGACCACAACACCCGGACCACCACATGGCAGCGCCCCACGGCCGAGTACGTCAGGAACTACGAGCAGTGGCAGTCGCAGCGCAACCAGCTGCAAGGGGCCATGCAGCAGTTCAGCCAGCGCTTCCTGTACCAGGTGAGCGCAGGTGTGGCCATACCCAGGTCTCACCTGGCTCTCCAGCTGTTCTCCCAGGGCTGCCCAGGAGCCATGGAGCATGGGAAGGTGCTTGCTGGGCTGGGTGGGGTCTGTGTGAGCTCAGAGCAGTGCCTGGCTGGGAGCTCACAAACTCCTCAGCTGCCTGCAGAGGCCTTGGGGGAGTGACTCGCTCTTTATAAACCAGCTTGCATGGCCCTGAAGGGTGGTGGGAGGTGTCCTCAGCAGCCTGTCCCCACAGTTTCTCCAGTGCCAATGTGGCCAGCCACACATTCTCCTGTGGCTCCCATCAGACAAGCCTTGCTGCTGACCTGTGGGGCTGCAGAACCTGCTGTTGGAGCTGAGGGAGCTGTGGTGTGTGCAGCAGGAGCTGCAGGCCTGGGGTACAAGTGGAGAGGGCTGCAGGGACCAGAGAGTGCAGGGAATGAGCTGGACTTGGCCAGCATCTTCCTGCTTCCTCTGCTGCTTCCCCTCGTTCCTGGTTTGGGCCGAGTATTTGCGTTTCCTTGCTCAGGGAATGGTCTCGACCATTCTTTTCCTGGGCAGGGGCCACACCTGTCCTGTCCACACCTTTGCCATGGATCTGGACCCAGCTGTGGGGGACTCAGCTGACCTGAGCAGTGCTGGTGGCCGTGGGCTGCAGGGAGAGCAGTGCCTGGGACAAGGCCAGGGCCAGGCTGGAGCAGTTCTGCTCCTGGAGAGCAGTGCTGAAACTGCACTCGTGCCAGAGACAGGTGAACACGTGTGGAGGGAAGGTGGGCAGCATACAGGGACCAACTTTTCATTGACTTCTATCTCCCCAGAGAAAGCCAGGAGTCCCAGCTGGGACTGGAGTGAGCTCAGGGCTCCATCGAGGAGCTCAGCTGCTCTCTGGGAAGGGCTGTAGTGCAAAGTCCATTCCGTGTGTGCTCGTGGGGCTGCGGGAACAGCTCAGCCCCTCTCCTCCCCTGCCTGTCCCTCCCTGGGTGTCTCTCCAACCCTTCCAGAGCCCAGTGGAGGGGCTCCCCCGGGAGGGGCTCTGGGCCCGTCCCTCGCTCCCTGCCAGCGCCAGCCTTGGAGCTGCTCCAGCGCCGTGCAACTCGCCCTGGCCGCACTCTGCCGAGGGAGGGACTCGGGCTCCAAATTTAGCCTGATGAAATGATTGCACTTTTTGTTTCGAGCTCTGCTGCCAGCAGTGATGGCTCCTGCTCTGCCTCCTGCCCCACGGGGGCTTTCTGCTTGACTTGCCCCTGCCTCCAGCATCCCTCTGCCCTCCTTGCTGGAGGGGACGGCAGGGGGGTGATGAGCAGTGGGGCAGAGCCTGGGAAAGGCACAGTCTGGGGGGCTTGGGTGAAGCCAGGGACCGCTCTCCAGCAGATGCTCCAGTGCTGCATCCTTTCCAGCAAGGGTCTCTGGCACAGGGGCCAGATTGTTCACGGGGACTGTGGGGAGCTGCAGGAGCTGTCTGGTGCTCTGCCCTGGTAGCTTTAATTGGCACTTTTGGGGTACCAGTGAGGTCCCCCTGGACACGACTCGCTGCGTGCGTGGGCAGCCTGTCCCGGGGGGGAGGGAGTGGACACTGCCCCAAGGCCTCCTGGCACACGGGGCACGGGCTGTGCCAGGCCATCCTTGGGGTGCTGGGCTGCCATGAGCTGTACCCAGGTTTTGGTGCTGTTCTGGGAGTGGGGGGCCCTGGCACCCCGAGGGCCGGGCTGCCCCTGGTTCCAGGCAGGAGGGCAGGGTCTGGCTGCGGGTGGCATTCCCTGGGCCCACACCGACTGGGATCCATCCCAGTGCGGGAAGCTGGAACACAGCCCTCCTCCAGCAGATGGGTTTTTTTACCTTTTGGGTAACAATTCTTATTTAACCATTAGAAGCACTTCCAGGCCCCCTCCTGCGCTGGAGGCCGGGGACCCTCCATCCCCAGGGAGCCCAGCGGGGCAGGACAGGGTGCCCGGGGCTGGCTCGGGAGAAAGGGGCTTTGTGCGGGGCGGGCTGAATGCGGGCTCAGTGCAGCGCATCCCGCAGCCGGCCTGCCCGCGGAGGAGGGGGCCGCCATCCCGCCAGGAAGCGCGGGGCGTGGACAGCGCTTGTGGGAATGATTTCATTGGAAAGGCCTGCGATATTTTTTCCCCTCTTGTGTGTGGTTCTTGGAGGAGGCTGGAGGTGTATGTGGAGGGGACGGCGGCGCAGCCGAGCAGCCGTGCACGTCCGGAGCCCTCCGGGCCGTTCTGCTGCCCTGGGCCGGCACAGCCCCTGCCCCGCTGCCCCTTGGCTGCCCCAGCCCCTGCTTAGGCTGAGCTTCTGAGCTTTTTTGGTTTTTTCCTTTTTTTTTCTTTTTTTTTTTTTAATTTTCTTTTTTTTTTTTTTTTTTTTTTTTTTTTTTTTTTTAACCCCTTTTGTGTGTGCGGGTTTTTGTTTA